TATGTGTTTGTTTAATTCCCCACTCCCCCCCCCCATGCCTGAGCCTAAATATCGACGTTAACCTAAAAATCAACTAAAAGTGGCCTAATCGAAATAAAACAATAAACTTAAGTTGTTACATATTTGTGACGTGATCGCATATTCCTACTTGATTCGCACTCTAATATATGTAAAAAAAAATTTCTTTTGACTGAAACGTCCTGTAATGATGTGACTTCTAATATACTCAAATAATAAAAGTTTATAAGTGAACTAATTAGTTGATTAAGAGAATGGGTTATATTTGCGTTAGAGTAAAAAACCAAGATAAGCGTATATAGGCATATTACATTACTTACAATCTTAAACCTATAGTATGTACTTAGCCATCTTTTAGTACACCTATCAAAATTATTAAATTACGAATCAACATATTCTAGTTTATACGTATAAAAATTTTTGCTACATAAACTCTGCAAGTCAATCATATTGCTAGAAATGGCTATACGTACAGTACGCAAATTCAGGTAGCTTATGCTGAAATTGGTTTTTAGACAGAACGATGAGTCAAATAAGTATGAGATTCGATAATCGATTCTAGAACCGGGTCTTATGCTGTATTAGACGGGTGAACTGCAGGCGTGATTATGCGGCTGTTATTCATAAATTCCGAGACAGCTGAATAATTTTCGTTATGATCGAATCGATAAGTTACCGAGTCGTAATTAATAAGTTACTGACATCAACCGAAATCAGAAACTTATCGATTCATTCATCAGCAATTTTTTAGATGTTCCAGAATTTATATTTTTACGTTAATTTTTTTTTATAGGTATATATCGGACCGAATCAATTACGATTTTTAAGATTTGTAAAAAAAATAAAAGTCTAGTAACATAAAATTGATTTCGAAAAAAATCACAATTGCAAGTTTTCCCTTTGCAGCACTCAAATTTCAACCAGAATAGCTCTAAAAACGGTTTTTCGGATTTTAGGTTTTTTTTTTTTTTGACAAACGGGCCTTTGCTAACAAAGTTATCTTTCGGAGATTATCATAGATCATAGTATTATCATGATTTATTAATTTCATTATAATTTATTTTTTTTATTTTTATTATAATTTAAACTTTACAATTCAATGTTTGTTTCTTAGCGTCTCCATTAAATGTGAGACCTTTTTCTTAAACAATGGTAAAAGCAATTTACGTAATCGCCAGACAAAAACCCGGCACCGGCCCCGGCCAAGAATAAATCCGGCGCCCGGGGGCCCACTGCCGGACCGGAGTAGTTAGATAATCGAGGATACCCTATAGAAATTAGAAAGGTTTATATAGAATCTTTGCATAAATTTTGATACGAATTATGATGAGCATAGTTAATAAAACTAACCCCGATATTTATCAATTACTCAAATTTAACTTGAGTAATGTTCTCGTCATGCCGTAGAAGTTTCAAGGAAGGTTTGAGGAAGTAATGTTTTTCGTCATGCCGTAGGAGTTTCAAGAAAGGTTTGGGGAAGTAATGTTTTTCATCAATGGAAGTCGGCATTAGCATAATCGGAGTTATACTCGTCCAAATCAATAACCGACAGTCTTTTTTTTTTTTTTTTTTTTTTTTTTTTTTTCCTGTCAAAATGCCCCGGGCACTTTTATCAAACAGGTGTATAGTCACCAAAAAAAAAAAAAACGATTTATAAAATTTACTACAAAACATTATGACTGAGGATACAAGATGACCGGCACTGATAAAGCAATATATATATATATGTATATGTATATTAAAATTATAAAAACATTAATAAAGATTTATATAAAATCGGACTTACATTTACATTCGCGGAGTCATAAAGATGTGCCATTTATAGTATACTTTTTTTCTTTCGTTTTTTTTTCGATAGTTTTTTTTTTTTTTATCGTTATTTTTTTATTATTTTTTTTTTTTAATTTCGTGATTTTTCCTTTGATTTCGTCATTTTTTTTAAATGAATGGTAATGGCAAGCGCAAGGAAAAGGTAACAAAAACTCCAGATATTTATAATTTAGAGGAGTTATAATCTCCGAAATCTTAAACATCTTCCCGATTAGAAAAATACAATATCTTCCCAAGATCAGTTTTTCCGGTAGGAAGGTTCTATGTAAGGAAGGTTGCATAAGCATTTAACCAAATTTGAATTAGTCATGCCGTAAAGTAGTCAGCCGATTATGAAACTTTACAAATATTTATTGATCAGGCGTACACGTAGTACTATTATGTGATAATTTATTCATTTGTGTCGAAAGTAACCTTTTTTTTTTTGTTGCACAATTATGCATGTTGTTGGGCTGGCGGACGGCAAAAACGATTTGGGTATTATTAAGTCTATATTTTCTCAGGAAATTGTTTCACAATTTCTTAAAACAGCAATGTTTGCACCCTGCTGATTTATTTGTGCACATAAAAATAGTATAAAATTATTTTAGATTACAGTATCATATCTAATTAAACTCTTTCAAACATTCAAACCGGTTGACGATGAATAATCCAGTCGATAATCATATTGGTGGTGGTCCCGACCAAGAACAAGAGGCTGAAAAACAAATTATTGAAGAGTTTAAAAGTCTTAAGAATGACGAAGCTCACGAACATATTCAGCAACGTATATTTGCCTTAAAACGTGGTGTAACCGTTGCAAAATCAGCTTCAGATTTTTTAGGATCTGATGTTCGCGAGTCTTTGATTCCTTTAATGCAAAATGTATTACGTGGAACTATTAAATCAATGAATGATGGTTGTAAAGAGTGTAATATTTTAGATGTCATGCCTGGTAAAGGTACTCAAGTGGACTGGTTTCTTTCACCAGAATTAGAAGGAAATTTGGGGAAGCGGAATAATAATTTGTATTGTATAGAGGCAAATCCAGATTTTATAAAGTCATATAAAAGTACAGTAGATAACTACAGTCATTTAAAATTGGTAAAAGCTCATGAGAAAAAGGTTAAAGATTTTTATCAGAGATCTCTAGATACAAAAGTTGATTTTATCATGTGTATGGATCTATGCTTTTTGTGAGTACACATTGAAAGATATTTTTATTAGCAATTGTTATCTACAATTATTAAATTATTATTTAACAATAATAATTATTTAATAACAGAACTGATTGTAGTGGACAAAATCTTAACCCACAGAAAGATATCATTGATTTCGTCACATTTCTTTATGGTCAGTTGAAGCCTGGTGGTGCTATATTCATTACCTACCTGGACCTCGAGAGCCCATTTTCTAAGATCAATTTTGACTATTTCGACAGCAGTAAAGATGAAGCACGTAAAAACAACTTTACAAAGATTGCTAAAGCACGAGAAGATTTATTATATAATGGAAAGATCGTCAACGAATTAAAAGCAGATGAAAAATCATGTCCGAAAGTAGAATCTCATAAACTTTCTACATTTTATTATGCTAAAACTTTGGCTGAAGTGGCTATAATGAGTTTGGATGGCGGATTTTTAAAGTATAATAAGAGCAAATTTGATATTGATCATTTAAAAAATTTGGTCAATACGGTTAAGGATGAAGCTAACAAAAAAATTAGCAAGAACGAAAAGGGGCGTTTTGGATTGTGTAAAGCCGAACGCGGTAGAGATCCTTTATGGAGAGTTGAGAGTTTACAATATGTTTGTATTATTCGTAAGGAAAAATAATTACTAATAGTAATTACAGTAACTTTTAAAGCATTTTATTGTATAAAATATTTGATAGAATTATCAATCTAAATAAAAATGCGCTTAACGTTAAATTATAATATGGTTTATAGTTACTTCATACTTAATTCTACATCTAATTCTATAATACCTAATTCTACAATTCTTCTAACTCCGAACATACATTTCATGAATAGTAACAATCACAAAAGTTAGAAAAAAAAATAGTGACGGTATCACATATTTATTATATTGCACATATTTATTATATTGTTACATTACATCCTTAAACTTATATTTATTCTCGTTGATCTTTAAAACTTTGTTAACCCACATGATACTTTGTCATTTTGTGTTTATATTTTGTGTTCATATTTTGTGTTCTCTTATTAGTAGATTAATTTTCGCACAATGCAAAATTAATAGGTTTACTTTAATCTATTGAATAGATGCAATGCCGTATCGTCGGTTCGTCTTTTAGTTCTTGTATACTTATGCTAAATCGTAGCATATATAGGTAAGTTGAATAGAGATAATTTGTTTATGTAATATATCCGCAAAGATTCTATAGACGATATTGTAATTTATGAGCTAAAAAAACAAAATTAAAGATAATATCTTCCTGGATCTAGATATGCTTATTTCCAAATAGACGTATAAAAATTACTTACTACTTACGTACCAAACCCATCTTTTTATTACTCGATCCTATTTATAGCTTTACATAATTGTCTCAATCTGTTTGATAGATACAATCTAACCTCGATATAACGAAGCTCTGGAGCTGGAATGTTTGGTTCGATATTTTGAGGTACCTTATTATAATGAATCCATAATTTCAATTCTTCGTTATAGGTTTATCGATACCGAGGTTATACTGTATTTGGGCAAACATTAATTCATATGAACGTTCTTCGAGCTACAAATAAACACGGTATCCGGTCATACTTTGATATTTTATTTTGAGTAACAAATAAATCCTGTGCGACTGAATATGCACAGTATTTTGCTTTTGCGCAGTCCTACTTTCTCAGCAGAAAGGCAAAATCATAAATTGCAACATTTGTGAACACAGATCATTATGCTATTGTTTTTAAAGTACTACTTTTATACGTCACCACAGAATCTGCAAATATTTGTATTGCGTAATATAACTAAGTTGTACATACTATATATTATATAGTATATATGTTTAATTTTTAAGTGTCTGATCTTTTATTTGGTTGCTCATAGTAAACCTTTTACATATTACACTTACATATTACACACAATAAAAATTACAGTATAGGTGTCTTATCAAGTCGAAATCTTCAGTTTTATAAATTACTTGAGCAATTTAGCGCATACTGCATTTCAGGTAGTCCATAATAGATTTAATAGTTGGATCCAATTCTTACCTTTCACATAGTTCTGATAATTTGAGATAGTAATATATATTGACAACTAAAATCTTATACTAGGATAAAAAAAGAATTCTTTTTACTAATAGAATGTGATGAAAATAAATACCGTAAATTATTATTAATAA